GATAACAGAATTCTTCATTTATTTTTAAAAATAGAAAACTTCAGAATACCTAAGTTTTGCTATCTTTCACAAAGACAAGAAATTAAAAACAAAGTCATGTAAAACTATTCCTCTTAAATAAGGAATTTCTTAGCTGCTACATATATCCATGATGTAATGAAATATAAACATTTTTTAAAATATATTTTAAAAGATTGTTTAATAATATTGGGAGAAAATGCAAGACACTATTATATAGTCCCAATTTTTAAAATGTGTATGTACATTTGTCTGTCTACAGGCTTAGGATAAAAGCCTGGAAGGATACCTAGAAATGTTAACTGTAGACATCTCTGAGAGATTTTAATTTTCTTTATATTTTTAAGTACTTTCAAATTCTGAAACTTAAGCAAGTATAACTCATAGAAACAAGTAAAAGTTATTTAAAACATTCTTGTTAACTAATGCCATGCCACAGTGTAAATAATTGGAACTGGGAACTCTGAGGATAACAGGAAAAAAAGGAAGATGACTGAGGATAAGTGGACTAAGTGAGATAAGGAAAAGAACAAAAATGGCTGAGAACTAACTGGCTGAAGAAGATCTCAGATACCTTAGAAGGGCCAGAATGATCCTTGTAGCAAAGCATAGCAGAGGGATTACTAAAGAAAATGGAAGTATAAATGTGTATCAGAGGAGTTTTTGACAATACTTGTTAAACAAACACATTCATTTGTAGTTAGCAGATAGAAACAAGTTAACTACTAAGAATCTGTTATCAAAATACTGGGAAGCATTTTATGTACTTTAACTTATCCCCAGATTTTCAAAAGGCAAATAGAGTTGTATGTTTATATCTACTCAGAACTATAATAATTACATGGGTGGCATCACTGAGGATAAGAAATACAAACTACATTTAAGGACCCATTTTCCACAGGTGGGAGACAATTAACAAGGGTGAGTAGTCAGTGAGAAACTGTCCTCGTTATCAAAGGGTACCTTCTTAAGGAAGATCAGTTTTTAACTGATAAAGGGAGGGGAGAAAGAAAGAGAGCTATGATGTTAATCTAGCAGTAGGTTACAAAGAGGCAAATCTTGAATTATGATTAAATCACTTAGCAAAAGGAGAGGAGAGCTCTCTCCAGAGGAGGAGACAGGATGAAGAACCCAAGAACAGGATTAGCACATTCTCAGGAACTTCTGCCTCGTATTTATACTTTTTCTGTAATTGGTAGTGGGGAGAGGAGAATGAACATAGCTTCTATGTTTAATGTTAAGGTAAATAATGTAAGAAAACTGGTACAGATAAAGATTTCTATTAATGCCTCTAAGGACCCTAACTCTTGTTAACCATCTCCTACTTTTCCAAATGTATTTCTAATCTCTCTCTAGCCCAGCCGTGGGCAAACTACAGCCCGCGGGCCGGATCTGGCCCGTTTGAAATGAATAAAACTAAAAAAAAAAAAAGACCGTACCCTTTTATGTAATGACGTTTACTTTGAATTTATATTAGTTCACACAAACACTCCATCCATGCTTTTGTTCCGGCCCTCCGGTCCAGTTTAAGAACCCATTGTGGCCCTCGAGTCAAAAAGTTTGCCCACCCCTGCTCTAGCCTGTTAAATACATCAAACTTCTACTTTAAAAATATCACTCCAAAAATGAATTTCAGAAGTTCCTTTCCAGCTGTGTACCTTCATAAAGCTTGAGGAAAAGATTTTTGTTTCTTGCTCTTGCTCTAGGAATCTCCCAAAGCATAGACAGGCTTTAACTTTATCAGACTCTTACCAAGCAAGGTTTGATACAAATTAATTGAACTGGTGACTAAACACTTATCCTATATAATAAAAGCCTAATATGCAAATCGACCGAAAGCGGAATGACCGGTCGTTATGACACACAATGACCACCAGGGAGCAGACACTCAACACAGGAGCTGCCCTCAGCCCGCAGGCCCCAGGCCAGCCAAGGCAGGTACCAGTGGGGGGCCCCCGATCGCCCCGCTGGTCGCCCTGCAGAGGGAAGCAACTGGTGGCAGCGGTGGGGCCAGTGAGTGGGCAGCACCAGGCCGATCAAGGCAGGTACCATGGGGGGCCCCACCCCAATCACCCTGCCAGTCGCCCTGCAGAGGGAGGCGACCGGCAGCGGCAGTGGGGCCAGAGCCAGTGAGCGGGCAGCGCCAGGCCAGCCAAGGTGGGTGCCAGCAGGGGGCCCCAATTGCCTGCCAGTAACCTCACAGAGGGAAGCAACCAGTGGCAGGGGGTGGGGCCGGCAAGTGGGGGCCCCCCCGATTACCCCGCCAGTCACCCCAAAGATCGGCCCTTATCACCGGCCAGGCCTAGGGACCCTACCCTGCACGAATTTCGTGCACCGGGCCATTAGTATTGAATAATATCATACATGTTGGTTTAACTATTTCAATAAAATACCGGCTGATACCTATTGGCAAAACTAACCCCTTATTAAGAAAAAATGGCCTTTTTAGGTCACTTAACCTTTCCTCTCCTGCCTAATCTCACTGACTATAAAACCAGGTTGGCTACACAAGGCCTGTGGGAATGTTTCAAGAAGCTTTAAGTGACAACTCCTTTGGAAAGGGCTAAAAAGTAGAAGTACACCTTCTCCAATCATCCCATGTCATCTGGACAAAAGCAACATATCCTTGCCTTTTAGAAAGCATGCCCTTATTAAAAAAAAATTTTAAACTTCACAACTTTAAACAAAAGAACTTAGCAGAAAAGGATTGAAATGAGTCAAAAAAGTGACCTTTACATGTGGTATTAGGCTCACGTTAAGAAAAAAAACAACTATGGTCAATAACTTTTAAAAATTAAAATTCTATGTTTTTCTTTATTATAATCTATACAGAATTTTTATAGTAGACAAGAAATGAAAAACTTTTGGAGCCATTTTTATAGTGGAATGTTCTTAACATCCTATATAATAAAAGCCTAATATGCTAAGTGTCCAGTCGTCTGGTCATCTGTTCAACCAATCAAAGCGTAATATGCTAATGATATACTAAGGCCGCTCAACCGCTTGCTACAATGTGCACTGACTATGCTAATGATATACTAAGGCCGCTCAACCGCTTGCTACAATGTGCACTGACCACCAGGGGGCAGACACTCTAACTGGTAGGTTAGCTTGCTGCTGGGGTCCAGCCGATGGGGACTGAGCGAGACAGGCTGGACATGCCCTGAAGCCCTCCCGTGGTCCTTCCCTGGCTGGCCAACCTCCCGTGTCCCTCCAGGTCCTGATGGTGCACCAGTGGGATCCCTTGGCCTGGCCTTGCCCTCTCGCAATCCAGAACTCCTTGGAGAATGTCGGACAGCCGGTTTTGGCCTGATCCCGCTCAATGCAGAAGCTGCCCCCTGGTGGTCAGTGCACTCCCACAGGGGAGGCGCCGCTCAGCCAAAAGCCAGGCTCACTGCTGACGAGGGCAGTGGCGGTGTCAGGAGTCTCTTCCACCTCCGAGGCAGCGCTAAGATGTCCAACTGACGATTCAGGCCCACTCCTCTGAGGGCTCTTGGACTGTGAGAGGGTGCAGGCCAAACTGAGGGACACCCCTGCCCCCCCGAGTGCACGAATTTCGCAGGAGCCCTAGTTAAGTATATATTTTTCAAAGTAAAAAAATATATACTTTTAATAGTAATCCAAAATTTCTTCCCAGGTAGCCAGCCATAGAATCAAAATTTTAATAGCAAAACTAAGTTTGGCAAAGTACATGATATTTTAACATCACTTTTGTGACACAAAAGCATGACTATAAGTAAATTAGGAATGATTACACTAAATTACTGTTTGCTTTTCTATCTGCCTGCTACACAAATTAGCTTCAATGCAGAAGGAACATTTCTGAATAGAAAATTAAGTTACCAAGCTGAAATAAAATTGTGAGTATGGGAAAAACTACTTGATGTTTTCATAAGAAAAGGGCACATACATATTTGACATTTTCATTTACTTGTAAATTACTCATTTAGAAAGAAAGTATATAATAATCCAAACTATAATCAAACCTTCCAGAATAGTACATTTCTCATAAATAAAAGCAATGACTCATTTTACTTCACTAATACAGGTATTTGTAAATTGATTCTTTAAATTAGTTAAAAGATCCCTTCCATCATGTGAGAACTCAGCAAGAGGTCAGCAGTTTGCAACCCAGAAGAGGGCCTTCACTAAAACCTGGCCCTGCTGGCACCCTAATCTTAAACTTTGTCTGCAGAACTGTAAGAAATAAAAGTTCTACTGTTTATAAGCCACCTGGTCCGTGGTATTTTGTTATAGCAGCCCAAACTAAAGCAACCACGTTTGCCCTTCTGGAAATAATCATGACCTGGGACAGAAGACCTGGACTCATCCACTGACACGGCCCCTCCCTCCTGGTCTTCAGTTTCCCCACCTCTACAGGAGGGAGAGAACCACATGATTTCCAAGGGACCTTCTGGTTCCTCCGACATCCTCTGGATTCAGTGGCTCTACTTTGTGACTGCAAAAAAAGTTGCAATTTTGGCTGAAGTGGAAAGGCCCCTCACACTCAGGAGAGGCACACCTGTGGGCTGCACCTCTGAAGGTGGCAGGCAGTGAGGGGAGTTTAGTGAGGGAGCAAGGCAATCAAGCAATGATGAAGCTATGGGCAGACACACATCTGGCAGAAAAAGGAGAAGGAAGTCAGACACCTGGTTTTGAGTGTCCCCCCACCACTTAACTACATGACCCACGCTAGTCCTTAATCTGAGCCTTCATTTCCCTCTTGGTCCATGGATGAGCTATCAATGTGTCTGCTGAATTGGGTTTTGAACCCTGAGGAGCTAATGGAACAGGAAGCCAAACTCTGGGCTCTGAGATGTCACCTCCAGGAGGGGAGGGGCCAGTAAGGGGAGCCCTTCCCACCCACCTCCCACTCCTGCTGCTCCAGATGCAGCAGAGCAAAAGGTGCTGATACCTCTAAACCCAACTCCCCACAACCTTCTGCTATCAGACTAAAGCAAGAAATCCGGACTAGACAAGAGCCATTGTGTTAAAATTTTATGTGAAATTCTGTAAATGTAGAGTGTGCCTGAGTTCGCCTGCCCACGAGGCCTGGCCTGTCAGCTCACGCTCAGCACTTGGTGTGGATAGCTGTACTGCCCTTCTCCTCAAACTCTTCCTTGCTGACCCAGAGCTGCTGGAAGGCCTGTAGGGAGGCCAGGATGGAGCCACCGGTCCACACGGAGGTCTTCCTCTCGGAAGCTGCAGCCACTGCGGGGCTGTCCCGAGGGCACAAGAGGCTCAGCTCCCTCTGGAAGCGCTCAGGGAAGCCCTCCAGCATGGTGCAGCCACCACACAGCAGCACGTTTGCGGCCATCTCCTCCTTGAAGCCCGCCTCCTGGCAGTGGCCCAGGCAAGTGGCTGTGAGTGCAGGGAGGCCGGGCTGGCTGCTTCCCACCAGGGTGGGCTTGAAGAGCATCTCGGCGCACTGGAAGCGCTCATGGCCAATGGTGATGACCTTGCCATCTGGGAGCTCGTAGTCCACGCGCAGCTCCTCCAGGTCCAGGCCAAGCTCCTCCTCAGGCTGGAAAGCCGAGTAGCAGCACATCTTCTTGATGTGGTCAAGTACATGCAGGTGGTCGTCCTTGGTGAAACTGTGGCCGGCCTTGATGAGCAGCTGCAGCAGGTAGTTAGTGAGGTCGCTCCCCGCATAGTCAACCCGGCCAGTCAGGCCTGGCAGCACGTTGCCTTCTGAGATGGGGACCACATGCGAGACACCGTGCCCGCTCTCCACCACCAGCCCTGTGGTCTTGCCGTAGGAATAGATGGAGAGCAGTGACTGGGACGTCACGTGCATGGCGGGGATGCCAAAGGTCTCAAACAGGAGCTCCGCATACTTCTCCCTGTTGCTGCTGGGGCTAAGTGGGGGGTCGGAGACCAGCACGGCATGCTCCTCGGGGAGGATCTTCATCGCCTTGTGGAAGATGTACTCCCAGATGTTCTGGACACAGTCCCAGTCCACCACAATGCCGTGTTTTAGAGGGTTAACCAGCTTCAGGGGTGCCTCAATGTTGAGCAGCTCGTGGCCCACATAGATCTCCTTGCAGGCATCACCCACATCAGCTGCCTCGTAGGGCTTGCCCACCGTGGAGGAGATGAAGTAGGTGGGCCTTGGCTCTCCTGCATAGCCACACTTACAGTACTGCGAGCCCAGGTCGACAATAAGCGCCTTAATCTTGTGCACATTCTTGGGCTTCATCTTCAGCTGATTGGCTGAATTTGTGTCCCGAATGCCAGCATCAGGAGCTGACAGCGTTCCTGCCTCTCCAGTGTCACCATGAGCCTTGCCCGTGGGTATGGAGCTCAGGCTGTTCCTTGTCGCCATCTGCCTTCCTTCCTCACCTTTCTCACACCCACATCCTAGAGCTCCGTGGAGAGAAATGAGGGTCCCCCTCCAGCAGTGCCAGAGCAACTACTCAGGATTGTGATGTCACTGGGTGCTGGTCCATTCCAGCAGCAGGGATTGGCTTGGCCTTGGCACCTGTGATCTGTCACCCTCACTCCCATCCCCTAACTTGACTTTGCTCACAACAGAGCAGGTGACCAGCACAGTTTTAGAAACCCAAGCACACTGGGGTCTCAGAGGTTTGTATTCCTACCCCCTTACATCCCACTCCTGACCTCCTGCTCACTAACTGGACACCTTTTCCTTCTCTGCTTCTTGGCTGTCAGAGTGATATATATTTGACCCCTTATAGTAAGCCAGGCACTATACCAGGCACCTCACGTGTTACTTCACAGAATACTGAGAGGTAGACAGAGCTAAGGAAATTGAGGTTCAGAATTCCAATGACTTGCCCATGAGCACACAGCTCTTGGAGTGTTTGTAGTTTAATGCAAGTTCATCTAACTCAATGCACCAGGTCTCCCTACAGAGTGTGACGGCCCCGAGAGTACTTTCATTCCTTCAACATTTACTGGGGTTTGTGGTGGACCCAGCCCAGTACAGCCTGCCAGTGATAGATAGGAACCCAGTCACAACCAGAGCCCAGCCTAGGTGGGAAGAAGATGGAATGGATGCAGGGATTTTGCAGGTGAAAGTCCATCAGGGGAATAGAGATGCACAAAGAAGGGAGCACTCATTGGAGGGAGGGAGTCAGAAGGTTCCCTCGAGTAGTGATGCTTAAGTCGAGTTCTCAAAGATATGTGGGTATCTGTCAGGTAGTTGAAGAAGAAAAGGCATCCCCAGCAGACAGCACAGCCTGAGCAAAGGCTCAGAGGGGGGCATGGTGGGGAACTACCTATAGTTAAGGTGTTTGTAAAAATGGATGAAGCTAGAGGGTCACAGAGCCACCCAGGGAGGGCTCACATGCTAGGAATAGGGGCTTGGATTGACTTGAGGACAGCTGGAAAACCATAAATACTCTAAGCTGAGAAGTGCTCAGATCTGACTTCTAGAACAATTTTAGAAAGATCTATGTTTAGCTGTAATATAAAGTGGCAAAACTCTAAGACCTAAAAGGAGAATTGAAGAAATTCTTATAAGACTTGAAGGCATCCTAATCCTAAACTAGGGCTGTGATAGTGTGGAAGAGAGCAGGGGCAGGTTCTAGAAAAGTTAGAAGGTAGAATCTATTCTAACTGGTTGGTTGGCTCCGTGCCATCTCTAGCCTCAAGCATTGCATTTACATTAGATGACTGGATTAGATGTGGAGTGAAGAAGAGGAACCTCTCACTTCTGCCCAAAGAAAGAAAGATGGTCTGTCATACAAAATGGACAAATTCACTAGGTTCCCATAAGGCCCTCCATACCAAAATGCCCCCAAACCCACCAAAAACCAAATCTATTAGGACTTCGGTGACAAAGAAATAAGAGGAAAAAAAGGAAAGGGAAACAACTGGGGCTGAGAAGTTTTTGGTGCAGAAGTAACTGAGGGATTAGGAGACATGGATAGGAAAGAAAAGGGGGGTTATTGCTATGAAGCATGTAAGCATGTTAATGAAGAACTCATGGGACTGTTTGTTGGCTGAACTGTTTCTGGAACATGGCACTATGAAACTGGCTTATGCAGATAACAACTTTATAAGGATCACAGTTATCAGCATCACCAAGCTCCAGTGGTGGTATCACAAGTCACAGAACTGAAGGATTGTACACTTGATCTGGAAGAAATAGTTGTGAGTCATAAACTTGTCCTCACACTGGACAGATGTAACTCTCTGAAGAAGCTACTAATTGGTCTTTGGTCTACTTTTGAGGTTGTGCAGGGCAAGCCAATTCTTCCATGTGACAACCCTTATGCTATTCAAAGGCAGTGTTCAAAGAAAAAGAAAATAAATTAGTTAAGAGTGGGGACATTTTAGTAACAGTGTATGATGCAATTCAATGGATTAATATATACTACTGAGTTATTTATATGAAAGATTTGACTCAAACCCAAAGTGTACTTTACTTTTTTCTTTTGCTTTAAGAATCAAAATCATCACTAAAGGGGGGAAGAAATCAAATATTATACCTGTATCTGAATGGAAGGAGCCTCTAGTGCTCTGTAAACCATTGGTAGGACACTGTTCTTTATTTCATCAGGAGGAGTTTTGGTTAGTAGCAAATCCATTTTTTGTAAGAAAATTAACAAAATCTGTGTAGAAAAAGGGAATAATGCATTAAATTCCAGAATTTTTACATGATTTTATATATCCCAAAATTAAAAGAATATTCTAAAGAATAAAATTCTAAAGAATAAGTTATATATTTTCACACTCACCATGTTGCTAGCCTGAGGGCATGGAAGACAAAAACATACAAATCAAGTCTCTTACATTTCTGGAAGCACAATATTTAACATCTACTCTCAGTTTAGGCATTTAAATAAAGACTAATTTCCTAAATCTCACAAATCTTCAGTAATATGTCTCTTACCCACAAGTACCAACTATCTGGAAAGCAACTGGGTAAAGAAATAAAAGCCTGAGGGCAACAAAATCACATGGCCCCCAACAGTAAGTTCTGTCACTTGGTTTCTATGAAGCTCAAGAGAAGAAAAGGTACAGGAATAAAAAAGACTGTCAGGAAAAATTCTAGAAAGAAATGTTTCAGTTCATTTTTTGACCTAGCTGCCACCACGTACCTAAATTATAAGGAACAAACTGCCTCTTCTATTCATGAAGAATAGTCTTGCCAAGGCTCGGTTAAAATTTTTCAGAAGGAATTTTTAGCTAGACTACTAAGGCGAAAAAGAGTACCAAAGAATGGAGGCAAATAAGAATTCAAATGGTATCCTTGGGATACTATATTGACTAATGCATAGTTTAGTGGACCTGTGGCTCTGCTACTTTCCCTCCTGATATCTTAACAGTGTTTGCGGGAGTCTGCCTCAAAGCCCCCAGTTCCTTCATCTGCCCTTTCCTTAGCCACAGGAACTCCTGCCTTATCACAAAGACCTCTTTCTGTTCCCCTCCTTTCAAGGGAAGGATTGCAAACAGCCTGCCACAAAACCATTAAATCAGGTAGCTGATGGTTTATTAATAAGCGATTGCCATGTAGTGGCAAAAGCAAGTAATAATTTACTATGTGCCAGAAAATTTCATTTACTCTCAACAGCCTCTTTCATTTTGGAAATGAGCAAAATGGAAGCTTTAAAAGATTAAGGACTTGTTCAAGTAAGGAGGTAATGGACAGATTCCAACCCAGGTATATGACCCTACTGCTCTGAAATCCAAGACCATCTTGAATCTGGCAAATAAATACTGTAATAGAGTTTACATCAGACACTATGCTTTTCATTTACTATACACACACATATTATTTTTGGGTGCTATAAGCATTTTCCCTTTTCTGATGAAACTCTTCATTAACAATAAAAGAGAAAATACTGGCATAAACCTGTGTAAATGAAAGACTCTGGTTAACAGAACAAACAAAAAACAGATAAGAACACTTAGAAGTGTAAGATATACTTCTTTTTCCAAACCTGTAACTTTTAATAAGACCAATGGGAACAGTATAACACATGCACAATCTCATTACAATTAATTTTCTGAGATGTTAACTTATAGAGAACTGCAGACACTTACTTGGAGAGTTCAATTATAATTTTAGGAATGGGTCACTTCAAACATGCAAAATAGCTGACCAATGAAAAAGAAGTCTCTTATATTTACCTCAGTTTTTTAAAAGTCACATATCCATTCCTTGTTTTCAATGATAGTCACTGTTGACCAGTATTACTGAATATCAGCTGATAAATAGGAAAATTATCTATATACATACCTGTATTGGCTCCTGCTGTTTAAAGACAGGGCCAAGGTCAGGTAGAATTAATTTGACATATTCTTCTTTGGTGCATTCTTCAGCAATCATTAGAACATTGGGCAAAACAAAAGGTACCATGTCAGGGTTTACAAATTCTGAAGTCAAGCAAGGCAAAATTCTCTGCACAATGACACGCTGAAAGGAAAAAATGTTTCATAAAACTAAATTTTATTTCACGTCTTTAGTACTAACATTGAAATTATAGTTTAAAATCTCCAATCCCTTTGGGTAAGGTGATCATATAATTTATGGTTGAAATTGGGACACTTTTAAAAGTAAAATAGGGTGCTACTGCCAATTATGGCAGGACAAAGACATAACTTGGTAATGTGACAGATAAAAAGGGATATATAATCACTCTTCCTTTAGGAAACCTTCCCTCAATTAGTCTTCACGAATATGTTTTTCCTCTTAATTCCTTCACTGCTTATGATTCATACCACACAATTTAAACACTGTCCTATACTGTTAATTATTGCTTCACGCATGTTAATCCTATTTATACTTACTATAAAGGCCTTGAGAGCAAGAATAAATTTTTGTTTCCTCTTTATTCTCCATAGCATCTAACAAGTAAAGGGCTAGCAGTACTTATCAATTAATATCTGACAGATTAAACATGGCACATTATTTTGGAACCCGAAATTATTATTTTTCCAGTGGTTTCTTTAGCATTCATAGTGTTTATACTATACTAGAGGCCCGGTGCACAGATTCACCGGTGGAGTCCCTCGGCCTGGCCTGCAGGGATTGGGACAAAATGGGCTCTCCGACATCCCCCAAGAGGTCCCAGATTGCAAGAGGGTGCAGGCCAGGCAGAGGGACCCCACTGGTGCATGATCAAGGCCACGGAGGGACTGAGGAGGGCTCCAGGGCATGTCCGGCCTGTCTCGCCTAGTCCCGATGGGTCGGACCCCAGCAGCAAGCTAACCTACTGGTTGGAGCATCTGTCCTCTGGTGGTCAGTGAGCGTCATAGCAATTGGTCGAAGCATATTAGGCTTTTATTATATAGGATTACATTCATTGTTTAATAAGCCAGAGAGGGAGAGTTGAGGAACTGGAGAGGCCTAGCATCAATACAAATGTATCCCCTTAAGTGTTGGTAATACAATGAGCTCCACAATAACAGATTATGGGTTTCTTTTCTGACATTTATCTTTCTAATTTTTTTATGCTATTTCATTTTCGAACAATGCAAAAGAAGGTCCACTAAACTTCTGGCTTCAGTTTGAAGTCTTTTACAGTCACAAAGTTACATTTATTTCTTTGGAAGAGTTATTATAGCAAGTTAAAGTAAACTTTAAATTCTAAAATCCTGGCTATATTAAGAATCTGACCAACAACAAACCTTGGGCAATTTTGGTAGAACCTTTGGCAGTCCTTTGAAAAATTGTGATTTCTGAAGGTTATCTCTTTGGAATAAGGTATCAAAATACTGCAGTGTTACTGCACCAACATCATCAAAGAAAGGAATCTAAAAACAGGAAATGAAATTATTTTGATAAATATTAAGGTACTTCTCATATCTGCAACTGCCACAATTTGATGAAAAATATTCAGAATATTTAACAAAATGCTAAGAGATTACTTCATAAAAATTCTAATTTAGAAAATCAGAATAAGGAAGTAACAAATTATTTTTCTTTCCAAGTTCAAATTTTCAGAAGCAGTACCTTTGAGTTGGCTGGAATAACTTTTTTTTTTTTTTTTTTACATAACTAGTAAAATACTGAAATATTAAGTAAAACAAGCTGGAGGTACAAAGAACATCATTAATCTAGTAAAGGCCATGCTTATATGAGTGAACAAGAGTTGGAGTGTCCAAAACTTTTGCAAGTATAACTATGTTACAACTGTTGTTTCTTTGAAATCTTAATTTTATATCAGAGCAGGTATATGCATAAATTATTTAAATGTTTAAGAGTAAAAGAAGTTGAATATTTAATACATTCAAGAATACAGATATTATCTGGGGACTATATCCGATTAAATCTTGTTTTAGAAGCAGTTTATCTACTTTCACAGATTTCTGTTCCTCCACCCAAGGCAGAAATTCATGTGTACTCACTTACCTTCGTCATTTGATCTGCATCTGGTCTTACAGTTGGAGTTACATTTAACAGTAGTTTTACATGTTCACGGACTTCCTCAGGTATATTTGTAAGTGAACTAGATCCTAAACGACTCAACTATTCAAAAGAGTGATAATATTAAATATGAATATAAAATATTCAGAGATATGCATTTATGTTGTCAAGTCCATTTAAGAAACTTAAAATTTACTTAAAAATACATTTTTAGATTCAAACAAATTGCTAATTCTATTACTGCAAGATAATTAAAACACTTATCTTTATTAGCTGATTATTTCTATTCCCAAAACAAAATGCCCAGTTTTTTAGACCATATTTTAAAATTCAGCCCTAACCGGTTTGGCTCAGTGGATAGAGCATCGGCCTGCGGACTGAAGGGTCCCAGGTTCGATTCCGGTCAAGGGCATGTACCTTGGTTGCGGGCACATCCCCAGTGGGGGGTGTGCAGGAGGCAGCTGATTGATGTTTCTCTCTCATCAATGTTTCTAACTCTCTATTCCCTCTCCCTTTTTCTCTGTAAAAAAATCAATAAAATATATTTAAAAAATAAATAAATAAAATTCAGTCTAGTAAATACATGTCACGATTACAGTTGTAGTAACAGACTGTAATCCTCACTGATTAGATAATTACTTTTGCTAAGTTGATTTTATGCAAACAAACTATATATATAAGACATTCATCTCAGAATTTTCTGAATACATTTTTAGGAAAAAAAAATCAAAGCAGCATTTAATACATTTTTAATGCAAGCAAATATTTAAAGATAAATACCTGATCCAACTGCCTACTGAAACTCTTATAAATATCTTGCTTGTTAATTTCAAATACAGGTTTCCCTTTGTTA